ACATGGAGCGTGTGGAGAAGACTGGCCGATTGCTTTTGCTACTACTTCTGGTGGTTGTGGCGTTGGCGAAATGAGAGATGCTTCTCTCGAGACATCAACTTTCCTTTAGACCAAGCTACATTCTTGTTTGCTTGCATTGGAGAAATTAAGAGAGCAATGTCAAATAAAGTGCCCTCTCATGATGAGCGTGTAGCTAGGAAACGTGAGCAGCTTATTAGATGGAGCTTTCCAGGGGAAGGTTGGGTGAAGCTTAATACTAACGGAGCTTTAAAAGGAAATCCAGGTGAGCCAGGAGCTAGATCCGATCCGTGGGCATAGGGATGAGCTGTACCAAATGTTTGCTACTAAGTGCGGTGCTTGTTCTTGCACCAAAGCTGAGTTATTTGGGGTTCTTCGTGGCTTAGCAGTGGCGTGGAATGGTGAGCACAGGAAGGTGATTTTGAATGTGGATTCAGAGGTGGTATTGCGGTTGTTGGTGGAAGATGAACCTATGGTCTCATCGTATATTCACTTTATCAGAAAATGTAAGGCTTTGATTCGTAGACAAGGTTGGGTGGTGAAGGTGAGCCACTGTTATCGTGAAGCAAATAGAGCTGCCGACTAGTTAGCTAATCTTGGGGTGCAGCTAACGCAGAAGTTTGTCTGGTTGAGGCGGTCCCGGAGGACCTTCGGGCCGTTTTATTGGAGGACTTGGGGGGCGTGACTCAAGCTAGGATGGTGCCAGTTGCTGTTGACTAGTGCTAGAGAAGCTTGAGTTGTAGTAGTTTATTTTTGCTTTGTTTTCTTTTTCGTTTTGTCTTTCTTTTTGTTGCTATTTTGCTTTGTTTTCCTAGTGTGTGTTTCTCTCTTTTTTAGGGGCTTGCCCCTCTCTTTCATAAAAAAAAAAAAAAAAATCACTACTCTTTTTGTGATTGAATCTAACCATAAAGTGAATCTCAAACTCAATATTTATTTTAAAAAAAAAGTTGAAAAATAATTGTGCTAAAAGAAAATTTTACTTGATTTTAGAATCAATTTTAATTTGCCGAAATTTGGGTACTCGTACTTTTAAAATCTTCTTAAAATATACACTTTAAGATATTCCCAAAATGTGAACATGGATCATCCATTCGTGTCTCCATAAAGAAATAATGTTTAAATATTTCGTAAAATCGAGTCATTAATAATTTTTTCTCCTCATCAGAACAAACATTGAAAAACATAACTAAAAAATAAAACAATTTTGAACAAAACAAAAACGCGAATAAAAGTAAATGCGGAGTAAACCAAACGGATGAATAATGCATGTGCATCAACCCAACAAAGTTATTAAACTTTATTTTCAACTTCAGTAACACCTTGATCGATTGCGTGTTTAATGATATCACGCAATCTAAATCTTTCCGCTTTGAACGATGAAAATGGTATAAAGTAGTTGAAAAAAGAAATCTGATATCACCATTAGAATAGAAAAATACAATTCCTCTACCAATAACCTAGCTTTTCTATGTGATGAAAATGAGACATTAATATTATTAAGGCCAAATTAGAAAATAACACCTGCTAAAAACCCCGATTTTGATAATAACACCTGTTGAAAAAAAAGTTTTATTATAACACCTACAAAAATCCCAAAATTTTGGTTTCACCACCCACTAACGGACTTTTGGATGGAAACCGTTAGTGGGGCTCGCCATGTACACGTGTCAATAAGATATTGGTTTAAAAAAAAGATAAATAAAAAAAAAGTAAAATTAAAAAAAAAAAAAAAGAAAAACCCCTAAACCCTAACCCAGCCACCACCGGCGACCGTCACTCCACCGCCGAAGACCCCCACTGCCGCCGAAATGAAAATTGCTTAAAATCCACCCAGGCGGTATTAAAATCGGCTAAGGGTCTGAGGACATTTTTTGTCAAATAAACTCAGAAATACCCCAGGCAGAGCATCACCGGCTGAATATCTTGCAAAGAAAAGATTAAAAAAGATAGAAAGCACCACAACCGGTATGGATGCCGGCTGTAGGCACTGAAAAATTTACCAAGGTCACTCAAAGATACCCCAGACAGTTGATTCTGGATGAGGGTATAGTGGAACCTGTTTTGAAAAGAACAGAGATTGCTCAAACAGGCCCCAGACGGTGAATCACCGGATGGGAGTATGTTGAATGCAACTTGAAAAGATTTTGAAGACACCTCAGACGGAATGCTCCGGCTGAGGTAGCGTAGATATTAAAGTCATTAAAAATCGAAGAATGTAACCCAAGCGGTATTAAACTCAGAAGTACCCCAGGCGGTGTTTCACTGGATGGGGGTACATTGAATTCATGATTTTTGAAGGTTGAAGACCCCTCAGACGGAGCTATGCCGGCTAAGGGAGTGAATTCAGTATTTGGAAATGGGTTAAAGACCCCCCAGGCGGCATGCAACCCAGATGGGAAAATCAGTCAAGATCCTTAAAATCAGAAGTCAAAAGTGAAGAGAAAGGGGCAGCCGGTACCTTGTTGAAATTGAGCAAAATATACTCAACCGGTAGCCGAATGTGATTGATCTACAAGTGCCAGATGAAAGAATTCTTGAGGAAATTAAGCAGCCGGTGTCAGAGCTCTCTCAGAATTTTTTTTGAAAATTTTGTAAAGTGTGGAGGAGAGAGGTGATGTCTCCTATTTATAGGAGAGGGGCAGAAGGCGAATCAACACCTTCTGCCCTGAAAATTGAAAAACTCAAAAAAAGGAGGGAAGTAGGCGAACCGTCACCTCCCATTCTTCCGACGCCTGTCACAGGTGACACGTGGCTATGCCACGTCACACCTGTGAGGGGCAGATGTTTAGGGTAAAAATACCCCTAGACACGTGGCCCTATAAAGGCCTGCCACGTGTCAAGGTTGCAACGGTCAGCAAAGGCCCAATCCCTTTGCGACACGTGTCCATTGTACCCTAATTGAGGTGCAGTTCTCCCCTACTATAAATAGTAGGGACAGACCTCATTTATGGGGATCGATAATTATTCCAACAACCAACCAAACACAAAACCCATTGCAAAAACGCTCTCCAACCAGAGAAGCATTTATTATTCTATATACCTCTTTAAGAAAGATTATAACTTAATCTTCGGAGGCGGAACTCCCACCCCCCATCAGGAGTCTCCGTTATTTGTGCAGGTACAGGCGAAGGAAGGAGCATACTAGGAAATTGTAACTCTCCCGCAGGACACATCAAAAAACCCCGAAACAGCAACAAACTTATTCTAATAGAGAAGTTAATTCATCCGTTGTTGTAAAACAAATTCAAACAATTTATGAAAGTATTTGATCAATCTTTTAAGTGACGAAGGAAGATCATGAGAGTAATTTAAAAGGCATAGAAGGGCAAAAGGTGCACAAAGATCGGAGTAACTATTTGTTTATTTGTCTAAATCGTTATAACAATCCTTTTAATGTATTTAATATGAACTCCATTCCAACCCTATCACGCGTCCCATTTATACTATTGGTAACTTCTATTTGTGTCACACGACCCGCATCACATCGTTGGATCAAAGGTGTCAAAAATTAATTCGACTTGGCTCAATCCGACACGATCCAATAATAACCAGATTCAGATTTAAATTAACATGAACACCGCAAATTCGTAGCTACACAAATTAGCTGCACCACTACACCCATATATGAACATATAGTAATTCAAAAATGAACATACGTTTTTCTTTTTCCCTTCTTTATATCTTAACTCTCTTTCTTCTTCTTTCTTACCTCTATTAATTTTCTCTCACCTCTGTTTTCTTCTCAGTCTGAAATTTTCTATCTCCTCTTTTTTTCCCCTTTTTTATAAGTTAATATTCTTTCTTACCTCACTTTCCTTCAATCTTTATACTTCTTTGTCCTTCTAATTCGGATATTCTCCAATTCGTCACCATTGTAGCACTCCATCATCATCATCATCATCATCATCTATGTCATGATCGTGAAACTTAAGGTAATTTTTTTTTTTAAAATTATAAATATGTGAATGTTGTAAAATTGTTGATTTTTATCAATTTTGCATCTGTGATTCCTAATCTATTATGTTATAGATCGATAATTATTGTCTCTATGATGAACCAAGATTAGATTTAAGGTGCAAATTTTTAGAGTTAAAATAATTACAACCGAATTTGTGTTATGTAAATAAAAAAAATATGAACATACAATACTTTAAAATTGAACATTTTGTATAAAATGAACATTTAGTACACTAAAAATGAACATTAGTATATAAAAATGAACATAATTTAACGATATATTTTATCTTTATTTTTTGTTAATTATTATATACAATGAATTTGAACCTATATGAATATATGAAAATCATGTTCATGTTAAATATACTAAACGTCCATAATTTTTTTAAATGTGTTCATTTGTTTACGTGTTTATTTTTTTGAATTAAATGTTTATTTTATATAATGTATTCACATATTTTTATGAAATGTTCATTTTATTAGGTATGGTTCAACTATTCTATGATTGTATGATAAATGTTCATTTTTACTATACTAAATGTTAATTTTATTTATTTATTTATCTTTTTACATGTTCATTTTTTATTACTAAATATTTTTTTTATTACTAAATGATCATTTTATTTTTACGTGTTCAAATTTTTATTTTTACTAAATGTTCATTTTTAAGGTCGTGGTCCATCAATTTTATGATTATATGATAATCATGTTCACTTTTAATATACTAAATAATCAATTTTTTTAAACATGTTCACTTTTTAATACTAAATGTTCATTTTTTATTGCTGAATGTTCATTTTTTTTTGTTCATAATTTTTTACTAAATGTTCATATTATAAGACGTGGTGGGTGCAGATAAGATTTATTATATGAGCTCAATAATTTAACCTAGATCAAACATGAACTAGACCCGATTTAACTAGACCCAACCAAACCCGACCCAATTATCTCAATTGACACCTAATATTGGGAATTTGTGACCCTATCCAAAATTCCAAACAAAAGTAATTTTAATAGAATTGTTTGAAATTTCAACTAAACATTAATTCACCCCGACCCAACTCCTTCGTCTATACCTTTGCTTGTAAAAAGAAACTCCATTGCAATTGAACTTCTAAACCTCTTTCAAATTCTCTTCCTTAATTTCCCCCAATTTCAATTAATTCTTCATCAACTCTTTTTATATCAATCTTAATTCTTCAATTTCATATTCTAATCATCATCTCATCAATTCTGGAATTCAATTACCTCAATTGCTCCTCAAAATTCTTCCGGAATTTGAATTTCCGAAAAGGTTTAACGAACTTAGTCGTAATTTGTTGATTTCGGGTATGTAAAGCTTATATATTTCATAATTGTTGTTTGATTATGATTAATTTTGAAGGTTTATATGACGAATCGTAAATCCTGTTGCTGCGGAATTTGTGAAAGCTCAAATCTTGCTTCAATTTGTACTGTTTGTGTGAATTACAGGTAAAATTGAAGTCCAAGTTTCTGTAATTTTGAGCTTTTAAGCTTGAAAATTTTCGTCTCTAATTTACTAAATTTGGTTGAATTGAATTGAGTTCAGATTGAATGAGTATTACACTTTGCTCAAATCGTTACGGAGTCGCCGTGATCAGCTTTACTCAAGGCTAACAGATAAGCTAGTTTCCAAGGTTTGATTTCTTATTACATTGCAAAAATTCTGATAAATTTGATCACAAATCCCTCTGTATAATTTTTTTCAATAATCGCAACTTTCTAGGGGTTGGAACTTGGATGCATAGTTCGTAAGGATAGGGGAGAGATTTAAATAGAGAATCGTGTGATTACGAGAGAGATAGAGAGAACCATTGGCCAATTAAAGTAACGATTTTGCATCTTTGCAAATAGGAAACCATTGCAATTATTAAAGAACGAAGGAAGCATATGTGGAGTATGTAGGGTATTTGATCATATTTTCTCAAATGCAGCAAAATCAACTAAAAAGAAACAAAAAATCAGTTTACATAAGGTAATGCCATGACATAATGGCGCGTAAATCAGTCTGATCTCTGATGCTGCACCTTCGTCTGGTTTGGACATCATCTGTACTATTGCGCTTTCAAGATATAGCTGCAGTACTATTTTTAATGATCGAGAGAGTCGTGTTTTGTTGTAATCCATGCTCTTTTAGCATCATATTACTTGTATTGTGGAATCCATGTATGTTTGAGTGATCTAACTGAAAAAAATAAGAGAAGAAAATAGTGAAAGAGAAACTTATATGTTTTGATTGTTGTCCAATAGGGAAAGACTGATGAGCAGATTAATTGGAAGATAGCTCAGAATGAGAAGATTGCTGGGCTTAAAGAGAAGCTACGTAAATCGAGAGAACAACTTTTGCATGGTTTGGATTTTGTTCTTGTTCCATACTACTTATGGTTTTGTTGGCTAACCATGGCATGAATGTAATAGTGGTTTATGAATGGCAGGGAAGTCTAAATTGGAGAAGGTGTCTAGTGATCTTAAGGTGACATATGGGTTGCTTGATTTTTCTAAAAATATGGTACTCACTTTGCCCCCCACTCTCCTTCTCTACCTTCCATATTGTTCCTGGATGTCATGTTTTAGAGTTTAATTTGTGTGTTTCAAAATCTTTCAGACGTATTTTTTATTAAAGATTTTTAATTTCTTTATTTTGTGTTTAGTTAGAAAAACACCGCGTTGAACAGCTGGAGAAGTCTTATCCTAATTGGATATGTACTCAGAGTTTGGGGCATGTAAGTATTTTGTTATGTATTCCCTTAACTAGGCTTCTTTTATATTTTGCAGTGGATATTATAGGCCAGCTAATAGGTTTTTTGATATGGCTCTCTTTGATGAACTGCAGATGGCAATAACTTCAGAGCGTTTACATAAACAATCGGTTATTATAAAACAAATCTGCAAATTGTTTCCACAACGTCTGGTAGGTTCCATAAACCCATTTGTTTTCTTCAGTTTTGGCATTTTTAATATTTTCAAGTTGGATATTATATACTACCTCCGTTTCATATTTTTTGCAACTTTGGGGTATTATTTGTTAAATATAAAATATTCCAAAGTTGCAAAAAAATATGAAATGGAGGTAGTACATGTTTCATGGATACTTTTAAATGTGTCCTGGGACATAATTGTTAAATCTCTTTGCATTTCTTTCACCTTTCCAGTTTCGCTTATGATTAAATATGTATGCTAATTGCCTATATGTTGCTAGAATTTTTACTTTCCTAATTTCTTTTTTCTCCGTATTTGTAATGTCCGAGCAATTCTGTTTCTACTGAAAACTGAAATTTTGGTTTGCTTCTTATGAATGTTGCTTTGAACAGTTTTAGTGGCACTATAATCTGTGCTCTGAACCCCCTTCTGATTTTCTCAGGTCAAGGTGGATAATGAGAAGAAGGATGGCTTTAATGGCCAATATGATGTAATTTGCAATGCTCGATTACCACGGGGTTTGAATCCTCATTCTGTTCCATCGGAGGAGCTAGCAGCATCTCTGGGGTATGCACATTTTATTTTTTTTTGGCAGGGGTTGGGGGGTGGAGGTGGCTTATGTTTTCTCTTATGTTTCTTTGCTGGTTAGAAATGCCACCATCATTAATCATTATGTCTTGTGGGTATCACTTTATGATTTTACTAACTAAAACAGGAAAAATGACTATGAATTTCATTTTTATCATTGGATGTGATTAGGTGAAGTTTTGAATGGAGCTTCATTGATGACACTATCTATATAATGGTTGAAGAATAATAATTTTATGCCCCTTATATCAAGATATTAAGTGAACATGTAAGCAATAATAGTAAAGTAGTGAGTGTAATGTTTCAATGAGAGCACAAATGAGTTTCAATGACAAATGGTGTTCCTGCTTTGTCAGACGGAGTTGCTGTTTTATGCAGTGAAATTTATTCAGTTCTTATTATTTAAGGCATATATTGAATGTTGTAGTTTCTCAGAATGTTTAATTATGAAATACTAATCAATAAACAAAACAGGTATATGGCGCAACTGCTGAATCTTGTTAATCATATCCTGTGTCTGCCTGCACTTCACAACTCTGGTTTTGCTGTAAGTTCTCATTCAGATGCTTGATTGTGTTAGAAACCTTATATTTTAGCTGTCCTATCTAATTGTTGGGAATCTATTATCTGTACTATCTAACTCTGGTTTTGCTGTAAGTTCTCATTCAGATGCTTGATTGTGTTAGAAACCTTATATTTTAGCTGTCCTATCTAATTGTTGGGAATCTATTATCTGCACTTCACATATAAGTTTGATTCTTCTATTGCTATCAATTTTGCTGCTATTCAACATGCCTAATTCTCTCTTCAGGGTTCTTGCTCTCGAATATGGCAACGGGATTCTTACTGGGATGCTCGTCCATCCTCTCGAAGGTATTAATTTAATATCTAGCTTTGAATCTATTATTAGTTTATAGCTCCCTCTATTCCTTTTTGTTTACCCGACTTTCCTTCATTGGGATGACCCAAAGTATGTGGACCATTCTTTATGTGACCACGAAGTTTTTTTTTTCTACTTCTTCTTGTATGTTGAAGCTGACACCCACCCTCCAACTTATTATCTCTACTTTTCCACTCGTAAAAAAGCATTCCAAACCCCAAATGACAAAAAGGGATAGTTGGTGTTACTCTTTAGCTGGTATGCTTGAGGATTTATATCTTGATTGTTGTTGCGTTTTCTTCTAAATAAATCATCTCAACTGTGATATATTTTTATTTTTTTTTCTGTTATCTGCAGCAATGAGTATCCTCTTTTCATTCCCAGACAAAATTGTTGCACTACTGGTGGAGAAAACTCATGGTCTGAGAGATCAAGCCATTTTGAAGTGGCATCGGTAGAATCTGAGAGGAAACCCAAATTGGATCCTTCTGGAAGTATTAGTTTCAATTATTCTTGTGCATCACCTCATTCATTGGAGACCCACAATGATTTGCAGAAAGGGATTGCTCTTCTTAAGAAAAGTGTGGCTTGTGTGACAGCATACTGTTATAACTCTCTGTGCCTGGATGTTCCCACTGATGCTTCTACTTTTGAAGCATTTGCAAACTTGCTTGCAACTCTTTCGTCTTCCAAGGAAGTCCGTTCTGTTTTCTCCCTGAAAATGGCGTGTTCAAGGTTATCTAGCAATACTTACATTCTAACCCATAAACTTATTGCATAAGTCTTTTTAATGTTTGCTGTAATAGACTATATTATGCATCATTTCTAGAACCAGCCAATCTTGATGCATTCTCAGCATGTGAAGGGAGCGGTGAGATTATTAGCCTATCTACCTCAACCATTAATACAGCATTACAGATATACAATGTTATTATAGTTTTTAATATATTTTGGTTTTCCTAGTCCTGCCATGTCCTTTTTTTTAAGGTCTTTTCTGCATGCATAGGGCTGCATGATATTCACTACTCATTATTATTTTAGATGTGTGTGATTTTGTGAAATGTGCTGTCTTAGTGAAAAAGATAATTTAAGATATTGGACATCCTCCTCTCTCTGGAAAAAATTGTGGCGATTTTTTTTTTAGCTCTACTCTTCCCCCACCCTACAAAATGAAAAAGAAAAAATCTTTTGAATTATATAAGATATTTCTGATTTAGATTGAAGAGCGTCGGGTTCACACAAGTGGGAGAACACAGTTGCCATACATGAAGGGTTATTGAGTAATTAAATCTTTCCTGGGTTTGTTTTACCAATTTTCAATTTCTAATTCCTATTAGTTTCTTTGCTTTTCCTTATTGCCTTTTCAGTTATATTATATGCAAATAAAACCAAGTTTAACAATCTTGACTATTTCTTACCATCCTCTCCCATTCTCTCTTTTTTTAGATCATGTAAGCAAGTTCAGCAGTTGAACAAATCTGTGTGGAATGTGAATTCAATGATGTCAAGCACAATGCTGGAAAGTGCTCATGCACAACCTGCAATGGTATATCTTTCAGCTACAACTCTGCTGTATTTCTTTTTGGACTACTTAGCATGGAACAGCCCCCTACCCTCCCCAACTACCCCCCTCCCCCAAAAAAGTATGTGTGAGATGGTATGTATCTTGGTCTTGGTTTTGTATTATATTGCCGTCTTCCCATTTGAAGATTTTGTTTACAAATGATACATGTTGATGCTCCATCAGTAGTGCAGTGTGGCACTTGAAATTCTGAAATTGAGTGTAAGTGCTACCAAAGAATGCATCATGGATGCTGTATATGGAAAGGCTGCCTTAAAATTTCATGTTGCACAGAGGAAATATGAGCCTGGCAACACCCCCCCCCCCCCACCTCCCCCTCTCCAGGAATTTAGAATTATTAGCATGTATGTGTCTTTAAAATCAGCAGTGTTTTGCATTATCGCGTATGCTTGATTTGTCGTTTATTTTATTTACGTCAAATTTGAGCTTGTTTCTGTTGCTCTTATTTTCCCTCCTGAATGATTGTCGTTTTTCTGTTTAATTACATGGTAGTATTTCTATGTTTATAGACTTTGTATTGTTTTACTCAATTTATTTTTCTCATGCAGAGAAATATGTGGGATAAAAACCTTCCCTATTTTGCACCCAGTTTTCTATATGCCAATGACAGTGCTGATGCTAGTAAGAATGAGAGCGTCTTTGATGGATGGGACCTAGTGGAGTATCCAAAATTTCCTCCGCCGCCATCTGAAACTGAAGATATTGAGCACTGGACTCGAGCCATGTTCACTGATGCCACAAAAAAGTAATTGAAGCCAAGTCATGTAAGTATTCTTTAACAACAAAGAACTCAGATTGATGCTTTTTCACATGCTGTTATGAGACCCTGCTTTCTGTTTGATTAAAATGTCTATCTTGATGTTGCTCCCTCTTTTTTACAGCCATTCGCTTCATTTGTAATTTTGTACAGGGCCTCATTTGGGTTTAGAAAACCTTTTGGTGAAAGATTAATAATAAAAAGAAATTTTGGCAGTAGCCCATCAGTCCACAGACATTCCATTTTAGTCTCCTATTCTTGAACTTGACTTTTGTGACTTCCTGGTCATATATTCCCCGACTCCTGACTTGATCTGCCTTTCAATGCCTATTATTCTAAATACTCAGTGCTCTTCAAATTCCTGAAGACCTTTAGTAACTATGACAAATTATCTTTAGGTTTCGTTATATTGAGATAGAAATCTAGTGTATAAATGTATCTTTGTGATTTCATTTATCTGGAGTCTGGACACTATTATACTATGTAACTGCTAAGTGGTTTCCCAGAGACAAATTTATTGGATTAAGATGAAGTGAATAGTTGTTGGGGTAGCTCAACTTAGCTTTTTAATATCTTGCTTATTTTTTTCTACAGTTAGATCTTGCATGCAGTATGCAGTTATGCACGGAATTTTTTTTTTAAGCAACTGTAGCCTTCAACTTGTTATTCATGCCAAATACTAATTTGCAACTATTTTGTTATGAGAGGCATTTATGAAAACATCTTTTTTTTTCGGGCGCTTTAGGCTGTGACCCAGTCAGGTGATATAATATAAATTGTCATCATTTTTGTTAATTTTTGTGCTAAAAGTCTGTTGATTTAGGCCTCATTGTCATCATGATGCTTGATAAACAAGGTAGCAAAATTATGCTATACCTAAATAAGATCGAGGTTCCGGTTTTTTAAGTGCCATCATGCACCTATAGTTCTGTTTGTCGACCTACATTCCAAGCAGCAGATATGTCGGTATTGCTGTTTCATAATAGGTTATTAAAGCTTTGGAATGTGTGTAATAGACTGATATTACTAATTACAGATATTGTATAAATGAGATGAAAATAAGAAGAAAGCTTGGTATAAGATAATGGCAAAAGTGGCAAATTGATTACAAGGGGTATATATCTGCCTACTTTCTCCTTTCTCCCCTCTCTCTATTTATACTAAGGCTAAAGACTATTAACCTAAGAATACTAGACTCCCCAAATTGCCCCTCCTAAGGTTAGTCTATTACAGTATGTCTTTATAAGTAAGTGTGTTCTCGGTGTGGAAGACTAATACACTGTTGAGGATCTCTCTTTTGCTGCAATTTGTTTTCCCAGAATGAATTCTAACCATATACTATCCTTTGTTTCTACTGCAGGTACATAATGGCATAGATGTTAGGTTTGAGTTGTGGCAATTGAAGAAATTTGAGCTCGACCTGTCAGATCTGTAAATACGTAATCTCCCGCTTATCTGACCCATGTAAATGCAGAAGTGTTTTAGTTGATATAGTAATTATAGGGATGAGGTAGACCATGATATTAGACTAACAGTTTAATTAATCTATCACATTTATTTTGAGTTTATGACTGATTAATGTGGGAAAAAGAAAATATGTATGATTTTTGATTGTATATATAGAAGTGTGAGTTACACAAATACTTTGATAATCATAATCTATTTTAGTCGACACATTTATGTATATGTATCCAAAGTGCCAGCGTCGATTTCATTCAAATCTTTCTAAGAAATTCAGGATAGATCACCCACAACAAAATCCAAGGCAAATCAATTCGCTTGCTCATGTCTTAGCTTAGCTCGCTTTAATTAACACCATGGGTAGATTGAGACTCCTTGATCTATGTTACAATCATAAATTGGTTTCACAAAACAGCTACATGGTGTCGAAAATAATTATCTAATAATATGCAGCTGAACTAAAAACGCTTACATTATTTTGGAATGTAAAATCAAACATGAAATTCACGACATACATGAATTTACATAAGATATATAGAATGATTTTCCTTTCTTTTAATCTTTCTTTTAATCTATAACCAAACTTGGTGCTGAAATTGCTTTAAAATAGAAGTTACTATGACTATTGCAGAGAAACGAATAGATATCCAAAATGTTGATAGTGGAACCAGAACCTCTTTGGCAGGGCTAGTTGGTGATGATGCATTTCTAGCAATCTGATGAAAATTTGCAGAACGCAAACAAGCTCTTAACATGCATACATCGGCAATCAGTTGTCATGTCCTTGGAGCTTAGACCGAAGTGACATCTCAATCTCCTCAAGTGACCGGCCTTTAGTTTCTATTATGAAGGTATAACAAAACATTGCAGATAGCAAGGACACTCCACCAAAACTCGTGTAGATTGGAGCAACACCAAAGATCCTTTGTAATTCAAGAAAAAATAGACCCACCAAGAAGTTGCAGACCTGCGAAACACCAAATGCGCAGATACAATTATGAAATTGTAAAAAAAAACTATAAAGGTGATGACAAACACTTTCCAAAAACAAAGAAGAGGGATTTTTTTTATCCAACTAGGCAACTATGAATTTCATTTGACATATTGTTATCTGGTAAGAAGCCTAACGGTAAAGAATGGAAAGAATGTTCAGGCATACTGCATACAGGATACAGGAGAATACATAGCAAGCTTAGCACAGCAAATAAGTACCTAAACCAGTTTCCAATAAACCAAAATGAAATGGCCAAAACATGTACTCTTCCCGTACACATTAAATACAAAAGGAAGCAGAAGCTATTGTTTGTTGATGTCCATACAAACAATAACAGGTACTGATTAGAGGAAATGTGTCCCACAAGACTCATCAAATCATCTCATTTATAACAGAAAATGTTGGTTCTAACTGTAAAGATGTAGTTGATGCTAAGAAACAAAACATAACATTAAAAGAAAAGGCGTATCAAGTTATATTCATACATCAAACTCCACCCTAATAAATATACTTGAGATCACAAAATATAATGATACTCTTGAAATTACCCCCTTTTCCACTTCCTGTCCTGTCAAAAATACATAAAATAGCAAAAGATATGCTCAAGGAGTCAAGGATTAACTGGTAATCATAATAGCAATTCAGGAGGTCAAAAGAGTATTTCTAATGATGTGTGTGCAGCACACGGTGTCATGAGATGCACAACCAATGAACTGATTGAGATCATGGGCGTTAAATGCGTGTATCCACTGTCTATCTTTGCATACTTGTGTAAGTTTTAGAGTCAAGGAAGTGTTTCTAACTATTCATATTAAATCAAGAAAATTGATAGGATTTTCCGCAAATGATGCACAAGGAATTTTGTGCATAATAGACAGATTTTACTTCTCGTTGGTGCCATACTGCCATTATATGGGGGATTTCCCTAGAACTATGCCCATCATGTTAAGCATAGTTGCCACACCATTTACTTTCTTTTTAAAAATTCTGTTTCCTTGTTTAAAATAAATTCAGACATACCCAGTGGACAGAGAAACTGAAACTCATAATTTTTCCTCGCATCCTACTGCCGCTAAGCTCTGGAATAATAATGCCAGTCACTGGGCCAGCTCCAATCGCAAAGGAGTACATGTACCTAAATTAGAGGAGCAAATTCAGCATATTTTCTTATAAAAGGTATGTAAAATGAAATTTAGGAGGTGAGGACATTGGATTACCAACAATATAGGATCAAAACTAACAAATCAAGCTACAATTGCTTAATGATGGGGAAACTGACAAACAGCTAGAAGCTCCATATAAAACAAGTAACATACAACAAGCTTCATTGATTGCAGGTCCCAAGGTTACTAAATTAGTGCCAAAGCTCACCACCTATCCAAGAGACGGTCTCATTCAGAAAATAATTGGGGGCTTGGGGCCTCTCAATCACTAGCTGATACACCTTTCTCTCATACTTAAGGAATTAACAGACTGAAGAAGATGTGCATGGCATTCAAATAATGGTTGGCCTAGTGCTAGTGATAAGTATAGCACTTCTAAGATAAAAGTTTATGAGACTCAAAGTCCATGCAGAATTGAAAGGTATTCAACATCTTAGAGTGCCTAGCCCTACCCAAACTATATACCCACTAAGCCTACAAGCTTGCAAACAAAAAGCAACCGCCCTTTTGCTTTCTCTAGTAAACTAAGTCTGGTTTATTGTTAAGGACACATAACATAAAGAGCAGGAAAGGAGTCACAATATCAGTAAAACACTAAGGTGCACGGATATTTTACATGGGATGCCATACGTGAATGTCTAATGCATCTCTACCAAGTACCACCAAGCAAGTGTTTTTTTTTTTTTTTTTTTTTTTTTTTAATTTTTTTTTTTTGTTGATTAACTTTCATAACCACACCAATGTGTCAGTCTAGCCCAGATGCTTAATTCAAGCTGGGCCATGTACTATCATATGGCAGAACCAGCCTAGCCCAGCGTTCAAAGCAGCAATTAGGATTACAGTACAATTTTTGGGGCACACAGTCGCCCCATTCCAGTTCACTAAACTAAAGTTTATTTACAACAAAATTGGGATAAACTTGGTCTTTCCAGAAACCATTGACCGAATAGACTTGAGTATTCACATGGGACATAATACAATATACATACACATTACCATCCCTTTAATTATTACCTTGTACCATACAGGTCATGAAAGGTTCAAGCACATATAAGAAGATTATAGGCTTGGAACAGCTCAGCGGACGCCATCAATCCTCAACAAAAGAAAGTTGCAAATTTGAGTTATCAAAAAGCATACCCTAATGTACCCAGGATTGATAAGTTGTGACTGACATCTTCATCTGGCAAGCTGATGGCATATGCTGCAAGAAACATCGATATAGCCTGCAAAATTTAGCAAGGTTACATATCTAGAAACTCATAAATGTATGACAAGCTGATAAAATAATCACAATATCCTTTCCACATTCCAATCCCCACTCCCCCCTTCCAAATATAGAAAAAAAGTTTTGTAGAGAGCAGTTTTGTACTTCCTCCATATTTCTCTACACAATCCTCCTTGATCCTGCGAAGTCTCACATAGCAGTGTAATTCACTCTCTGCCTGTAGGCACCCATTACCATTAAAAAACCTCACCATTCCCAAATAACTTCCAACGAGAAGTCTTCTCCTTCCTTGCTTATCAATCAAGTACAATGCAGAAAGAGCCCCTAAAGTTCACATAAAGAGTGCCTCTCAGTGTGAATTTATAGAAATCACTTGATATAGGTAAATCGATTGATAATATCCTATAATTAATCACTCTACTGTGCATAAAATACAAGGATAACCAAATCCTTTTCAGCCTAAAATTTGACCTTGGTAAGATGGTAACAAGGAATTAGACTATTGAGAATTGATGGGCAGGTTATACTATATAATTAGAAATACATTGAAGCAAAGAAGCATATATAATGTGTTACTGCACCTGCAAAGTTGGTGAGCCCGACATACAGGCTTGCTAAAGCAGCACTTGTAATCCCAACATCTTGAAAGGTCAAAGATGAAAAATAAAGGACACCATTTATCCCTGCAAATTGTTGCAGTAGAAAAAGAAAACCTCCTACAAGTGCTACTGCAGCAATTAAAAATAGTGCATCAGACTTTTGCAAATAATTAACATCATCAATGTCCTCGTCCAAACAAGAGAAAAGAAGTTGAGAGCATAGAGTGCGGGAACTATTATTAACTTCCCATTCATATATAATGCTAATAACTAAATTCTACTTGGTAGATACATTAATAATTTTTTGTAAAGGCTGCTTTGAATTTTAATTGCATGATAAAGCAAGGACCCCCTACCTCGCCCTGGCCCCCAGAGTTAATCAGTGAAGTAACAAACACAAAAATCTAAAGCTGGTGGAAGGTATAGCCTATGGTTTCATCCCCACAACTCCCTCTCATGAAATTACTTGAGTCCAAAAATCCCGGTGCTCCATTACCCACTGTTAAAGGGCTCATAGAAGTATAGGACTCAAACTCATAGATCATTTGGTCCTTATTGTGTTGAACGATATGAAAGAGCCAGCACAGCAAAAGAAGCTTAAGCTAATGGTTACATCTCTCCTTATGATTATAAGTGATAATAGGCAAAAGTTTTATTAGAGGCCTTGGTATTAGTGATATTGTATGATATGGTAGCCACTTTGTAAGAGATTGAAAGTAGCTAAGCTACTTCACACAAATATTAAAAATACAGGAGCATCTAACTTTAGCAGAAGCCCAACATGCATATTAATACTAATCCAACCTTTATAGTTTGGCTCCTTGAAGAGTTCCAACCATTTCGAGTTGGTATCTCCCTCAGTTCCATTAAATAATAACTGAAACTCTTCTATAGCACTATCAACTTCTGAAGGGCCCCAAAGGTTACAAAGAATAGATTTAGCATCGTCAAGTCTCCCTGTCTGCAAACACGTTGCAGTCACAGGATCAAAATACACAAGACAACCAAGCAAAAAAAAAAAAAAAAGCATCTATATATAGAAGACATACTTTACATAGCCATCGAGGGCTGTCCACTGCAAACTGCATACCAATCATAAGAAGAAACCCAGGGATGCTCGCAATGTATAGCAATATCCTCCACCTAGAAACAAATTGTAGGGTTAATAAAATAATGATTTAGAAATCAGAGCCATTTTCAAAATAGCATAAGATAGAATATGTTTCACGTCATGTCAGGTTGATTAATAGTAGATATCATCAAGAAAAAGCTACAGGCAAATAAGTTGCAACAGCTCATCCTACCTCACTGCCAGTGCAGCATAACTATCAAGCTGCTAATACTACTACTACAACTACTACTGCTATCTTAGTAAATATTTCGTATATTATTGTTCCAAGTTCCAACCAATATTCCTGCTGATACGTGGGGGGCGGGGGGTCAAGAGACACTCTTGATCAAACAAAAAAACAAAACCTCCCCATTGTGTAAATTGAATATGAATCTTTGACAGTCTAATGATGCTGCCAGTAAAGGATAGGGGGTAATAGTGACCTCCTCAAATTCTGTCAAGGAAGAGATTCGTATTTGGAAAATGCTGGTCTATGAAAAGTGACATCATAATGAGATATATGATACAATGTCCAGATATCTTACTTGAGCAAGAAATCATGTAGTTAACATCAACAAAGAAGTTGGCCAGAGCACCTAGGAATGCAGCACAACTCCACCTTTACAGGAGCCTTAAAGGACATTTGTCACCTTGGACAAAAAAGCCAACTACCCTTGACACAAGCAGCTGTCTCACGTACTCCATCATAAATAAACAACTTTAAACTACATACAGATTTAACTCCAAATAACTAGCACAGTAACACCTCCATTGGCCCATGTCACCTACAGCCTATTCAATGAATTTGGCTCTTCTTTAAAATCTGACCCTTCTAATCAAACTAATAGAACTATTTCTGCTTTAAAGCTCATTTGATTAGGATGCTTATCGCTCAAACTTTTCAACGTCTTTAATCTCCTTAAGTGCCCTCCAATTTCAAATTTCGCATCCCTAAAACCTTGAATTGACTCCAGCTTTGCTTGCAAAATTTCATTTTATTTTTCTTTCACAAAGCTAAACCTCGCCATCCATCCACCCAGTTTGAACACCACCATACCGCAGTTGATCACAAAAATTATAGTGCATCAATTCAAATAATGGAAAGAGTTGTAATTTAGGATAATATAGTGTCTTAAGCAAATATAAGCTCCAGGCAGTCACAAATAAAAACAACCTACACATTAATTCTCAAGTATAAACCACTGAAACCCAAAAACAAAATATATATGCATATATGTAGATGTATACAAAAACACATGCTTGTACATGTATGTGAATTTGTGTGTGCATGTGTGTGTGCGTGTGTGAATATTCCCCGGAAGTAGTCTGTTTCCTTATGCTTCTATATGATGGTTCATTGATTACTTTAATACTTCAGAAAGACAACCGAGCCGAATCTGACAATGGATAAAAAGAGTACAGCAAAAGGAAGCCCGATAAAGCATTAAAAATGAAATCTAAAGGGAACAATCTTCAAGAACCAAAGTCTGAATAAGGAGAAAAGAAAATAAAAAAGCTCCTTACCTAACCAAATATTACAGATTTGATCCTTCCAAAGGGAGCCTACATCCTCCATTTTGCAGAGTTTTTGGTGATTTTTAGGACCTATAAAAAAATTTATCTCTGTAATTTATGTCATTATTTAATACCTTAATTCATTAAGGGACAGTGTAGTAATATATTTAGAAGTGTTAGGGAAACAATGAAAGATTTGGTGTGGTATTCCAACTATAGTGGAATAAGAAGACAGGTATCTTAATCAAGTCACAATGCTTTTCAATTGAAGGGTTCCTACCTCCTATGTGTAATGTGCAATGTGCTATAACATTAAACGAACTATTAAAAAACAGAGCAAATATGGTATTCGTGTTTACATGATACTAGAACTAGGATGATAATGGTACAATCTAAAAAAGGAACAAAATCATATATTTGAGCCTTAATCCCCATGATGGGGTTGATCACATGAACCAGTTTTTTTTTTTTGCAAGGAGAGCATTTTTATAATTAGCATAATAATATCATATTATCATGCATGATGCCTCATAGGAGTCATAGCTAACGCAAGACTCTAAACCTGGTGGGATTCTAAACAGAAATTGATCATAATAAAGTACTATAACAGTAAAATAAGAAATTCCCATCAACAATTTATGAAATTGCTGCAACTGTAAGGGTGACTATTATCTCAGTTATCTGTCTGACCAAAACACGTCTTCAGTAGATAATGGATACTGATTTTTTATTACAAGAACTTACCAATGTGGATCATTTTCTGCTGGAATCGCAATTAACAAAGAGGCTATGATCCCAAGACAAGTACCTATCTGGCACAATGATCCCAAAGATCCCCTATATTTTGTCGGTGCTACCTACAAAATAACAATAGTATATTGATAAAGCACCAGTAAAGATAATTGTGGAGAAACCACTCTGTTGTCACACATTAAGTATGGATTCTATGCTATATTCTGTACAATCTATTTTATTACTGTAACATTTGAATGCTTAATTTCAAAGAATTTTTTTTGAATAATATTCTTTCACCTGGGCAATTTTTGAATGACAATGACAATAAAATTTATACTTAATAACAGTAATAAAAGTTAGAGTAACATATGTGGTTGATAATAATCAAAATCATACAAGGAAAAACCAGCTCAATCTAGAACAGATAACTCAGGCTAAGTGGCCAACTGAACAAAATCCTAATTTTAGCCTATCCAAAGAGGGAAGTAAGATAATCCTTAATCCCTGTCATGAAGTTAAAGATCAGAAAAGTTAAAACTTAAAGAAACTTTCAAATTAGTTATATACATTTATATGTTCTCCTGCTTTACACACAGCACCCAAAATGCTTTCATACACAACACCAATTAACCTTGTAGAGCCTTAACAAAGATGTCACAAATTTCAAAGTGATGAACTCATTAAACAGTAGTGCTGAGCTCTACTGCACAATCACCAAGACAGGCACACTCCAATACTCAAATCACACATAGCTGATAGCGGCTCTGATGAATTATTGTCATTCAAATTGTACAGCACTACCAAATGATCTTTCATCTCTTGGCCCCTGGATGATAAAATATAATTGCACCCACTAGCCTTCATCCACCCGTAACAAGAAAATGGAAAAAGAGTATACAAGAGGGAATGGCTAGGATCTCTTTGCCCCGGGGTGATATATATACTTGCACCCACTTGTCCTCAGTCCTCAATTCTCCACACAAATAAAAAGAGTAGGCATAGGGGTATATAAAGCGAGGGAACGGCTAGATCCACCATGAATCAATTATACTAAGATTGCCTAGTTCAAGAATAGATTATGTTCCAAGCAATAGCCTAACATGAAAAATGGAGTAAGATACGAGTATCACAATCTTGCATCTCTATTTTCTTTTCGTTGTGCTAAGATGAAATTTGGCCTCCAATACTAAGAATGCCTAGTTCAAGAATTGTTTATGTTTAAGCAATAGACTTACATGACAAATCGACCAATCAGCACCCAATTTTTACACTCTCAAGCCTCCTATCTGATCCTTCCACACAGGGAAAGAGGAGATAGCCAGCAATGGCTGATCTAAAGCCAAATTGAAGAAATTCAGAAAGAATAAAAAGACAGATGTACAAGTAAAAAGAAGAACTGAGAAAAGTGGGAGAGATAAGCAAAGAGGAAAGACTAAGGACCGAAAGGGGCAAAGGGCGATAGAAATCACTAACCTAGCAGGTTGATCTGAATCCTCAACCCCAAATTTCCCATTAGTCAAGGCAGCATCCAAGATGTACAAGAAATAGGCTGCTGCCTCACCTAAAGAATTGGCCCACCTAACACCATTTTTCTTAAAACCTCATCAGGCAGAAAAGATGGCCCGTTACTCCCACAATTTCTCAAGCTCATGAAGACAAGAAGAGGTACTACGGCCAAGTGGAGCACAGTAGCACAATGAAGAGACGCATCGTCATCAAATAATTCCACGAAGTTGTGTTGGGAATGTACATATGAAGCGGGATTTTTGGAAATTCTGTATATTTGAGATGTTACAATGGAGTCCTATGCAGAGAAAAGAAAGGGTGATAAGTGAACAAGTATGGAAGGTTCCAATTGATTAGCCTAAGTACTGAGTTACTTTAGCTAACTTATACCTCACCAACACCAATTAGGGCCCAACAATATCAATAAATCATGTTAATAGGGTATTAGTTTATAGAGAGAATGTATTAAATCTCGGCCGTATCACTGCATAACAACTGCATTGTACAGGATTTTGAGCTTATCGTGACCGAAAATTAGGCCGCAACAACCTTATTCCCACATTTACCGTGAAAGTGGTAATGCGATCGCAACCGCATCCGAGAAGTAAAACCATGATAGATACTATCTTTTTTTTAACAATACACTTCATTAGTTCATTCTCACTAACCAATAACTTGCTTGAAAATATATAAGGCTAGTCAACTATAAAGCACACTGCAAAGAAGAGGAAATAAAGACAATTGGAATCATTATAAAAACGCGAATAGTTCAACCAGAAAAAGAAAAAGGCCTTTATGATAAATATTACATAAAAAAAAAAATGGATTGTAACTAATTCAGCAGTACCTCTGATATGTAAATTGGTACAAGAACTGTGTTCACCCCAATACCAAGGCCCACAAGAAATCTTCCCAAAAGTACTTCATTAACAGAGTGTGCTTGTGCACTGTCAAGGTATGAAGCAGGCAGCTCAATAAGTAAACAAGAAATCAAATTTGCTTTAGAAATTATTATAATCTATGCAGCTTATATGCAAATCTAACAATTGAAACAAATAAATTCATACACAAATGAAATATCTTCTAAGCTTGTCAAATATTCGAAGTTTGAATTTTATATTGAAAGATTCATAATAGCTGGGAAGGCATCAAATTCAGGGAGAAAGCAACAAAATGATATTAAAATATATGAGAAACACCAAAGGAGGGTTCAACCATGGACAAAAGAAAGTTAAAGCCAACAATATCATGCCTTCAAGGCTATTGTTTATTATTCTACTCATAAAAATTATTCTGTTGAGATTATATTCACCAACTTGCAAAATAAATTTTTCTTCACAGCATCTTCAATTGAATCTTCTCATTACCACTGCTCATGCAGGTTAAAAATGCTCTAGGAGCAACCTTTGTCTACCAATTTTCATTGGAGAAAATCGAAACTGATTCTATTTCTCTTCAAGAATTCAACGTTAGAAATACTTCTTATATAAATGAGTACACAATATGTTTTTTTAACCATTAGGAAGTCTTGAAAAAGAAACACACTTATGATTCTGGAATCTGGATACCAGTCCATGCTATCGCCTAATCAATAAGAGCCTCTGTAAGTCAATAAGTGAGACAATTCCAGAATTATCTGAAATGTAAACCTTTAAATGTTTTGGATACCATAAGTTCAATAATGAGCAACCCACCTAAGAATCTAAGATGGGTTTCCAAATGCCTACTTTATGAGAGAAATAACTAATGAGCAATACCTTCTCACTCCAAACACCCTAACCTTCTCTTACAGCGCGCCTCTTCTTTGTTTGCAAGCCTCCAGAGCGACTTTGCCTTGGCTTGACTTCTTCATTCATGATAGACTTCCAAGACCACACAATCTTGCTAGACTGATGTACATATTCCCACTAACACAATTAAAGCACTTATCACTATCAGGTTCGGAGGTTCCTAGTTGTCCCATAGGAAGTCACGTGTAATCTTCAAATCCCAACTCACCCACTGAGATTAATAGTCTTCTTGACAACTAAACTTGAAGCGCAGCATATATGTAAGTTCAAATTAACAAAACCTCAAAACATTTTCCTCCAGAAACTATACCTGGCAAAGAAGAAATTGTGGGTTATTGCTCACAAAACTCGAAAATGAAGAACACATAGAGTGAATTTAAAACAAGTACAGCTTCCAAAGAGAAGAATGAATACTTAATGGAAGCAGTACAATGAAGAAAGGTAATCATTAAGAATTCGGTTGTCCTCTCAAGATAAGGAAGAATGTACAACAGAAAGATGATGTTAATCAATAAAATCATTTAAAAAAACTAAACGCAAAGAATGCAACACTGATAAGAAGACATGGCAACTATATCACAACCAAGAATCCAAGATCATGATAACAGTGTCTTAAAGTCCCACAAAATGAAATAAAGAAAAAGGTAAGAGACATTAGTAGCATAAGTCTGAAAGGCAGACTGAGTCAAGGATCAAGCATCAAATCAAAAAATATTAGAGAAAAGAGATTTTTCTTTGGCCAAAAGATGCAAGCAAGAAATCCCAAATAAAGAATGCCATAGAATAGAAAATAGAAATGATCCGAGTCATCTACTTTATCCCTAAACTAAACCTTATGTCGAATTTGTGATTGCCCCTTCCATTCAAAATTTCAAACCCATAGATAATAAACCAACCACAAGGTTATAAACCTTTTACCAAATCCCAACACTCATCATTATAATCACAATCAAATCATCTCAATGACCATTGAAGGGAGCAGCCCTCATATATTCAAAAGAAAACCTTAGAGGATCAAAAGAGGAAGAACTACTGATTTAGTCCACAATTGTAATTGTAAAAATGACTAACAAAAGGAACCGAGAGTTCTAAATTTACCAGCTCTCAAAAAAAAAAGTCATTCGATTAGACATGTACACATAAGCCATGCCTTTGGTGATGTAAGGAAACATTGTAGAATGATAGTCATATTGCAAAATTGCACTAACAGTCATACTGCTACCACCATAACAAAGATGTGATGTGAATTTTATATTCTTTTTAAAAAAAAAAAAGTTCGTTCAGCAATTACCTCAAAATAGCACCAATAATTAATGGGATAGAGTCAATTTGAAGTGTGCGCCGACAGCCAAATTTGTCAACCAAGGCTCCTGAAATAAGACTCCCAATGAAGGCACCAACAATAAATATGCTCACTACAAGGCCCTCTATTATAGAGTTCCCCTCAAAACCAAGTTCTCGTGCCACTGATGCAATAGGGCCATTCATGACTCTGCAAAAAAAAAAAAAAAAAAAAAAAAAAAAAAAAGAATATACTGCCATTATTTCCTACTTAAGGCTCGTACTAAACTCATAACAAACAAAATCATGGCAGACAAAAGATGAAGCATATATGACTCACGAAAAAGCATCAGAATTTTGAAACTCAGCTAGCACTGGAACATTTAACAGCCATTCAAGAAAAAGGTATTTGATGATAGAAACTACTTAACATTCTTTTTCCTGTTCCTTCGAACCCTTAAATTACGAACAAGGAGACCATGGCTTTAGTAAATACATTTGTTACTTGCCTTCTTAACTTAATACGGAGTATAAAGCATGTATTAGGGCTTTTGTACATTAAAAACAACACTTAGCCACTTGGCATTAAAAACAAAATACTTCCTCATCAAGAACTTACCCAATATGATAGCCAAAGAGAAAATTAGCCATGGATGCTGCCAAAACATGGGGCAGTGCAGGCAACCAGCCCAAATCAATTTCTTTTGAACGATCATAAATCCCTTTCGATAACTCCTCCGCTTTACGATCTACATACATCTCAAACCAAATTTCACAATATCCATCAAACACAAGCAATGAAAAAAATTCAACTGCTTTCATTTCTAGCACCAATTATGAGTTTTAAAGGTTTATCTTTATCCCTACATAAATATTCTAGATTTCATTTCAAACAATTTAACAGCCTAAATAAATACAAGAAGTACATATTAGAATTAACAGTGCTCATCAACCAAATTAATAACTAATCATTTTTCACCAATGGGTCTGAATTCAACCTTTTAGTCACTCATCAAACAAAAATTCATTGAAAAAAACAAAGCAAGGATTTGATCCTTAGTATCATAATAATATATTTGTCCTCAACGATTTCATGAATCACAATAAAAACTATGTAGTAGTATATCAACCCAATTCTTCAAATATAACCCCGAACCAAATGTGGTCTATTAAAGTGAATCAGACAAAGCGAATAATAACATAGAAAACCCATCAAAAGAATTACAAAAGGATCAACCAAAACAACTCAAACCTGGTATTTGGGTTGAATTTGGAGTAGCCTCCTGAAACTGCTGCTTTTCAGAAGCACAAACAGAAAACTGTTTCAGGGGTTTAAAGTGACGAAAACGCATAGAATTATGGAGAGAGTAATACATGAGTTTGGTGGAAATGGAGGTGGGTTTCGATGGTAAACCGCTAAAGGGAGGATGAAACGCTGTAACTGTAGCTATTGCCTCCATTCTAGCAACTCCTACTACTGTAGTACTGTTAGGTTGCGTACTAGTGCTTTTGAAGGTGAAATTTTTTCCGATTGTTTGATTGATTGTTTACTCCGTACTTGCTTCTCTTCTATCATTAGAGAATTCAATTAATAAGTGTTCATAGGGATGCGTGATCTTCCCATATTGGGAAGCGAAATCGAGGTACGCATATGTTTATTTACAACGATTTGACATAAGATATGAGTAAAAACCATCTAATTGTTTGCAAATAATTTGAAACAAATATACAGAGTAATATTTGATAAGAAGATACTTCGTAATTGATGAGATTTTAGTTTTTTAGATGCGATTAGAAGATTTAATCACAAAATTATAGAGTAAACAATTTTTTGGTGTTTGAACTAGATGATTTAAATAGTTTATTGGAGTTTTAATAAACTACTCACAGGGGGTTTGGCGTGTGGGAATGGAAATTTGGGGAATTATAGTGGGAATTTGTTGTTGGGAATTAATGAAAGGGAATAAAAATTCATAGTTTGATAGTTGATAGGAATATGTTGATAGCTATTAAGAAATTACATCAATGCCCTTACTCATATCTTTCCCCTTCCTTTTCACCTTTCTCATTAATGGCAATTTAGTCATTTCTTACCCTTTCAATTCCCTTCCCCAATTCCAGCTCCCCCTAGGTAATAAAAATGTGGGAATTGAGTGAAAGTTTATTTTCCATTCCCTTTAAACAAACAAGGGAATTAGGGGCCGTTTGGTTCGCAGTAATAATCAAAGGGAATGGGATTCCATGGGAATCATTCCCTTTGTTGTTGTTTTTTTTTCCATTTCAATCATTCCTTTTCCCCTTTGATTACCCAAAAACCTTTTGCTCCCATTCCCCACCCCCCTTACCTTTTCTATTCCCTTTCCCAGCCACCAACATACCCACCATACCTTTTCCATGTTGGAACTCGCCACCCCTCACCGAACCACCGCCAGCGAAAACTGACCGCGAAACCTCAGCGAAAGGCCGACAACCACGGGCGATACCGGTAGTTTTCGAAGGCCAAGATCCGGTGATCGAATTTGCAGGCCAAGCTCCGTCAAAATTCGCAGGCCAAGATCCGGAATCTATGGTCGCCTCTCCTTTCGTCGCCCCTCCTCTCACCGAAGGCCAAGGTCCGACAGTTTTGGGTGGAAGAAATCGGTAGTTTTCGAAGGCCAAGATCCGGCGAATTTGTAGGCTAAGCTCCGTCGAAATCGCAGGCCGAGATTCGGAATCTATGGTCACCCCTCCTCTCACCGAAATCCACCGGAAATCTGGTTGCGTGGGTGTGGTGGTGGTGGTTTAGTGGTGGTGGTGAATCTGGTGATTCCATTGTTTTTATTACACCAAACAACATACTACATTTGAGGGATTTTCATTCCATTCCATTCCATTTCATTCCCTTTGTTCATTCCATTCCGTTACCCCATGCAAATCAAACGACCCCTTAGTCATGTTGGTAAATATATTTCCATTCCCACCTTCTTAATCCCACATGCCAAATATAATTTGTAAATTGCACAACCTGGCATTTGGTAAGAGCTGTCTAAATACTCGAATTTTTTTACAAAAATAAGTTATATTATTAATGTAAGTGTTAGTCAAAATATGTAATGTAACTAACCTGTCAAATCAGTTAATACAACCAAATATATCAAAGCAGCTACCAGCTAATTATGTATCAAATGTGACACAAAATCCTAACACATTAAAAAAATACTCCAATGATGCTCCCTTTATATTACCCTATGGCTTATCATCAAGAATAAATCAATGTCTTTTTACAATTTTACGGTATATAACTCTTTATTTTTCCATTAAAGAATTTATGTTGATTTCATACTTTACTTTTAACAATTCGTGCGTTGTGCAAACCAAAAGACTAGTTAGGAATTGAAACGTATAATGCTTGTGTAAGTGTGTAACATGATCCACAAGCATGACATCACATTCCCCGGTTACATAAAAGATCTTTTTGATGAAACTCTTCATACACTCACGAGAGCAACATGCATTAGCAATTTGGGATTAATGACGTACATCTAAATTGTTTCTTATACGAACCATATGAACTTTGGCCTTATTAATTAAGGATCTAAACTTTCATGACCTATACAAATGTATGTAAATGTTATGGTCAATTACAAGGTACGGGACTTGAGTCCCACATTGGTCATATGGGGTGTTGATGTAGAGTTTATATAGAACAATGAGTTCTCCTCATCTTGAGCTAGCTTTTGGGAATGACTCTGTTATTATCTTGTATCAATGGTATCAGAGCTGGCCACCGTTTCTTCACTTGTGAAACACTGATCCACTTATGTTTTTGGCCCCTGCGACGTCCCCCACCTTACACCGGCTCAACCCCGCCACTGCTACCTTAGTTTGTGAGCTATTCGAGCTCATCTTAAAGTTTTGATGAGATGGACATACAAAACTTGACTTAAGAAGCTTGTCAACAAAATTACAGTTTTTATTCACCATTTTTTTTTTCTTCTAATTATAGCATCTAACTTAAATAAGTTCTCCTTAGTAAAACTTTAAATAACAGGTGAGAAACTTGTAAGAATTAAAACACAGTTACATTATAGAAGTTAAAGTTTTTTAATTCAACTTCAGATTTATATATTGCAATTTGAAATTTACGTGATTTGTGAAATATTATATCTCTTTTTAAAAAAAAGAAGGTAAGATAAGTTCAAGTAGAATCATGCGCGTGATAAATTTAGATTGAATATTGAAAATTATTTATGTTTAGGCATTCAAATGGTACTATGAGACTAAGAGATGTTTGGAGTTTCATCAATGTACTCAAACTTCATCAAAGTACTGATAACATAGTTAAGCTACTTCAAACTAATTGTTCATTTACCAAATATTTCTGTAAAAAACCAAGTACCAAGCACTCTCAATCCCAAATGATTGGACAAAGAGAGAAGCGTAATATTCCTGCAATAATTCATAAAATGTGCATGGACAAGAGGTAAGAGAATATCTCAAAAACCATTCATACAAAGTTTCCTCGACTTAAAAGTACAATATCAAAGGGTAGTTATTGACATGAATCCCAAACTCCAATAAAATATATTCTATTCATTTCAAATTGTTTGTCCTAAAGTCATTTTTTAACTTGATAACTTTTGATTGAGTAGATAGACAAAAGAGACCAGATAAGGTTAAATACACTATATTTGAAAATAATATTGTAATAAAAAAAATAAACAACCATGTGACCCGAGTGTTGTCTTAGAATGTTACTTTGAATAATTTATTTATTTTTTATTATTTTTTTTATACAGGATTTTGGGATGAATTTAATATGTACTAGTAGGTGTCTAGTTGATAACAATGAACTAATAAAGTACTATATTGTAGTGATCAGCACATTAGATAATACATTTGAAATACTGTGTTGAATAGCGAAGAGAATTTAAAGAGTTTTATGATTTTTTTTTATTTTTTTTTTAGTTTAGATGCTTTTTTATTCTACATTTAAATATATTTATTTATGTATATGGATATAGCATAATTTTTTTTTATTTTTTTTTTGGGCAATGGCTAGGCACGCCTTTTCGATTTTTTATTTTTTGTAAGGAAGATCTGGCTGTTGTTAAAACGTAGTACAGTACTATATAAGGCAGACAATGGCGAAAATAGAATACTGTACGAAAAAACTTTACAGATTATAATACTAACTGACGAACAAGAGAGAGAAAATCAAAGAAAAGAAGAAGAGAGAGAAAATCAAAGAGTGAAGGTGCAGTGAAGCTTTTGTATGGGAAGATAATCATGGCGTCTTCTTCAAGCGACCCCAAAAATCCTTCTCTTCTTCCAGTCGAGTTCACCAAAGGCGTTAATGGCCTTGACAAGGTCATTCTTCGCGAAGCTAGTGGCGTCTCTGCCGAGGTATTTTTCTCTCGATTTTTTCGGTGCATTTGATTTCTGGATTTCTGTCGATGTTTTTCGCGATTTCGTTTTGATCTGTTTTGTTCTTGAGGTTTCTTGATTTTGCGCTGGATTTTTTAGCGGCATTTCGTTGTTAATCGGATCTATTTTGCGTATGTTTGATCGAACATTTGCGTGTTGTTTTGCGATTGATTTGATAATCGAAAATAATCGAAATCTGTTTGTTGATTTTGTTGTTGTTTGTTGAAATTGTTGTTTATTAGCCAGATTCTTGAATTCTCTGCGAAATGACGATATTGATACTTGATTTTCGAAAATGCTTCAATCTAGTCGCAAACTGTATAATCGTTTAACCTATTTGTAAAATTGTTCAATCGTTCAATTCAGTTGTGAAATTGTGTAATCGGTTCTTATTTTACATGAAATTCTTATATATTATTCTTCTTATTTTTCCTTTTTCTTTATGAAGGTTTATCTCTATGGAGCTCATGTCACTTCTTGGAAGAATGAGAACAGGGAGGAGTTACTTTTCGTAAGCAGCAAGGTGAGTTAATTTTTGTTTATAACCTGAGGATTTGATACGTTTGAAAATACGTGTAATCTGATGTCATGTTGTTGATAATATGTTTATATAAGAATGTGTGCTGTTTTTATTCTGTGTATGATTTTAAATCTTGTATGTGTTTATGGTATTAGTCATGGAAGCACTTTTGCGAGCAATGTAGATGGTTTGCAGCTGCTGTGGCCTAAAATAACAGGTTGCAGTAAGCTAAAAACCTTTTATAATGTGGTTATGATGCGTCCAAGATTTACCATCAACTTTAACTTGCTGCCTTATCTTATAAGATACGCTTTCTTGATGAAATTTGAATACCACAGCCGCACACTCTGTCATAGCTACACCTGTTCATTTATTTTTTGTAATTTAGAAATGGTTGCTAGGTAGATATTTCCTGTCAGTGACTAACTGTCAGATCTTTTTAATTTGTGTAATTGATCGAGTTCTTAGTTTTGTGCTTGTCTGAATTTATAGGGTGTTTTGGTGTAGATTCTTGGAATTGGAAACCAGCTTGTAAGGCTAATATTGATAGAATATTAAAGCGAAAACACTCTTGAAGAAAATAATGTAAGAACCTCCAGGATTTTGAGAAGATGGTGGTACCTTATTACTTTTCTCCTTTAGAGAGAAAATAGTCTGTCATTTGTTAGACTTGGATGTTGCCTTTGGGTTGGGGAGAAATCTTCTTTGTCTTTTCTGCTCAAAGGGGAGGAGGGAGGGGGGGGGGTGAAAAAGGTTGAAGGCAAGGAGGAAAAGTTAGAGCACGAGGGACTGAGGGATGAGTAGAATCCTGGATATGACCCTTGTAAGCGACATACACTGGCAGGTTCACCCTTGTAATAAGGAGGTGCATCGTGCATATGACCCCACTTGGAGGGAAAAATATGTGAGGATCTTCTATCATGAGAAACTTTGTAAAAGAAGGCAGGTTGCTCAGAACCATCACTTTGAAACTGCCTTTTCACTGGCCTGCATTAATATCAATTACTGGACTATCTTTTTACTTACCAAATACTAGTCGCACCCTTAACTTTTGTGCTTCAAGTAATTTACTCTACTAAAATTTACAGTTGACCCCCCACTGTATTAAACTATTAACTCTTGTATCTTTTTATCTTGACCTGGATGCTCTTAAGAATGCTTGTTTTAGCTGCATGGTGTTTCTGGTAATTTGATCTCTGGTCTTGTTTTTATAATAGCCTGAATTTATCTTTGACCAATTTATTCCCCTCATATTTTGTTGCTTGTATTTTCAAATTTTATTACTAGATTGATTTCCTAATTCATAGGAGTGTCTTGTGCATATTGTCCCTGTACATGCTGGATTAGTTAGAGCCTATACACATGACATCTTGAAATTCAAATATCTTGTTGGATGCTATTATTCAATTCGAGTGTTCTGAAACTGAGATTTCTTCTTCCATCTGCTTTTACTGATATTTGTTGTGCTGTCCAGGCTATCTTCAAGCCCCCAAAACCAATTCGTGGAGGCATACCAATATGTTTCCCTCAGGTATATGCTCCCTGCCCCTACTCTTTTCTCTCCCTTTCATTATTATTTGTCTTCATTTCCCTCATGTGAAATATGTACCATATGGTGCAGTTCAGCAATCATGGAATCCTTGAAGCTCATGGATTTGCCAGAAATAGAGTCTGGAAAGTTGATCCTGAATCACAACCTTCTCCTGCAAACTCAGTTAACAAGTCTTATGTTGATTTGCTGCTGAAACCTTCTGAAGATGATCTGAAGATTTGGTCTCACATGTAAGTTTCCCCTCTGATGGGTGTATGAATGTTTGAATATTGATGTAGATGCTGATATTTTCGAAGTATAAAATTAGAGAGTATTTCCTTCCTTTTGTTTGTTAGTCATGTTGCTGTACCCATTGAATTGAAACAACTCATGTCTTTTGTAGTTTTGAGTTTCGTCTGAGAGTAACCTTGGGCCCTGGAGGAGATCTGATGCTGACATCACGAGTTAGGAACACTGATACAAAGCCATTCACTTTTTCATTTGCTTATCACACCTATTTCTCTGTTTCTGATATCAGGTATTACAACATTTTGTGCTGATAGTATATTTTGTAATTTTGTTTTTCCGATATTTTCATAATAGTCAGTATAATACCACACATGTTTCTTCTTCTTCTTCTTCTTCTTCTTCTTCTTCTTCTTCTTCTTCTTCTTCTTCTTCTTCTTCTTTTTTTTTATTTTTTTTTTATTTATTTTTATTTTTT